GAGCCGGAAATCCCATCACTAGATTACAAAGAAAGACAAAATCATGCGGTTGTAATGTTTTGAGTTTGCAGTGAAGAGCTCCCCTTCCCATTAAGATAATGTGATCCAGGATCTCCCTTCTTAAAGGAGCTTTAGCCTTTCTAAAAGATCCATGTTGTAATTGAGGTCAAGTCTTGAGCTTTGAAAAACAAACAGATATTGCAGTGTGGACTTTTCTGGAATTTAGCTCAGACCACGTCCTCATTTTAGGTAATGGCAGATGGCTTCAACATGAATTGAGGCTGCGGTTTGGGGATGACCTCAGAGGGGACTGGCAGCGGCTCCCTGGCCAGCCATATCCCCATATACTAATGAGAAGTGAATGAATTCTAAAAGCATTTGAAACGACCGAAGATTTTAGTGACTGAAAAATAAGGTTTAGCCAGACCTGTACCATGTGCTCTTGTGAGTCACAGATTTAACTTTTTTAATTCAGTAGAGCCTTAGCAGGCACAAGAACTAAGGCAACTGCAGCAAATAATGTTCAAATAAATAGTGAAATAGTGAATAAAATAAGTTGTTCTCTTTCAAAAACAAAGCTTGAACACAAAGATAAATGAAATGTGTCCATCAAGGCACTTTTCTTTAAATGTGCCTAAGTGACTCTACCACTGTGTATTGTAACATAACATCCTGCAAAACAGGAAGACTGGTCTCAGTGTGCAAAATTAATGACGTACTGCCAGTTTTGTAGTAGTTCATGCCTGATCACGTTGTTCAGTGTAGAATCAAAAAGACGGGATCTTTACAAAAAACAGAACTCCATCCTACAATGTTATGTGTTATCTAGGAAACAACTTAGCATTTCTGTTCAAATTCAATATAATCCTGCTGTATATTCCAGAAGATAAAGAACTCAGATACCGTGGTTTCTGCCCGTGGCAATGAGCTGGCCCAGAGGAGTTTCCTGAGGCCTTTTCAAATCTCTAGAACCTCCGTCTGCCCTGATGTGCCCCACACTGTAATCACAGCTGCATTGCCTGAAACACAGAGAAAAATGTTGCAGTCCTTTTACCATTACGCAACACTGGCCAACATCTGCTGGCTCATTTATTGTGCCACGGAGACAGTTTCCCTGTGAAATCACCTTAAAACTAGAAAGCACTGTGACCGCCATCCATTCTGTGTCTCATGCCACTTGTTAATTACCCATTGTGTGGTACCTGCCTGTGGGTATAGGCTAGCTTGACAAGCTAACAGAGAAGCTTAATTGGAGCTGACAAGCAGATACTTTGGTCTGTGGTCGCTGCTCACACTTCTGAAATGTTGCCTGTCCAGTGGTAATTAGCAACACTACTTCAGTAAGCTTAATGAAACAAATTCTTCATCTGTAATCGAGGCACTGAAAGAGAACATAAAATATATGAGGTGCTTTCTTAGCCGTCTCCTGCTCTAGGGCGAGGTAGAGAGATGGAGGCATTTCTCTACATGTCTGACAGAGAAGCACAGGAGCTCTGGCAGAGTTTGCTTCTACATGCGGGCATGACTGTGTCCCAAACTAAGTGACAGATTGCGTGGTGTCATGGCATGACATTTCAGCATCAGCCTGAAGGAAAAATGTCAATACCGCATAAAATGATACACACACTTTTTAAAGCAGAAGAAGTGCATGTTAGTGCAGCCTGACAGGCGGATTTATTGTATGAGATCCAAATTCTCAGCAAGTGGGTTAGGGACATTCACCGTAATGCAGTCTGTCATTGTGATCGGTCATCATTTTGTTCCCCCTACTGAGACATTTCAGTGAAATCCAATGAAAAACTGTATGTCAGACATCCTCATCGCGTTTTATGTTGTGTGTGTTTGTAGCTTTTGTGTAAATGGGTGACAGGTGCTTGTTGTTAAAAGTATGTCCAGGGATCTGAGTAAATCATGTAAAAATGTATGTGTGCAGGAGAAGACCCTGAGACAAGACGTATGAGGACAGTAAAGAACATCGCTGACCTGCGGCAGAACCTAGAAGAGACCATGTCCAGTCTACGGGGGACACAGATCAGCCACAGGTAGGCGTGGAGAGCTCTTTACTTTGAACGCCTAATGGATGACCCTAATGTGAAGATGCAACAACACAACAGTTTCTGTTTTTTATTCAGATTATTTTTTTGTATAGCACCTTTCAAGATAAAAACCACGAAGTAAACACACTAAAAATAAAATGGGGGCCAAGAACAGAACCCTGTGGTTTACCATGTGAACCAACGGAACCAACTTGAACCAGTCATGTGTTTTACCAGATACGCCTACCCAGTGCTTTAGCCCCAGTAGTATCAATATTCCACAACCCAAATATAGAACATGCTCCCTTCGCAGAGCCATATATATCATCACATCATCATCGCCACTAAAAATAAATATATAAAAACGAATTTATTTTTTTTTAAAGTTGTAAAAGCACAGAGAGGAGGTACAACACCTGGTAGACTGGTGTCAGAATAACAACCTGTCTCTCAGTGGCCCACACCCCTCTGCACATCAACGGATCTGCTGTTGAGATGGTCAACAGTGTGAAGTTCCTGGGTGTGCACGTATCAGCCGATCTCTCCTGGAACCTGAACACCACCACCATCATGAAGAAAGCCCAACAACGTCTTCACTTTCTTAGGAAACTGAAGAAGGCCAGTCTCCCTCCTCCTATCCTCACATCATTTTACTGGGGAACCATTGAGAGCGTCCTCTGCTGCTACATCACTGTGTGGTACGGGAACTGCACCCTCGCTGAAAAGAAGTGTCTGCAGCGGATAGTGAGGACAGAAGAGAGGATCATTGGAGGCCTTCTCACATCCACCTCCCAACTCAATGACAGACGCATCATCCGACGTGCGAACAGCATAGTGAAGGACACTCTCCACCCCTCACATGCACTGTTCTCCCTCCTTCTATCTGGCAGACGGTTTCGCAGCATCAAAACTGTGACGACCAGACACTGCAAGAGCTTCTTCCCCCAAGCAGTCAGAGCCCTCAACTCACTACCACAAAAGGACTGATATACACATACGCCTTTACAAACACCTTACAATACTCATCAAAAGACTCAAAAACAACAAAAACT